GGTTAAGAGCACACTTATTGCCCCTCCAGAGGAATACATTATAAAAAACACTAAAAGATTGAGAAAACATTAAAGAGAAGTTTATACATAGATACCATTTCAAGACAGGGTTTCTCTGTGGCTTTGGAGGCTATCCTGGAACTCGCTCTTGTAGACCAGGCTGGTCTCCATCCCAAGTGCTGGGATTAAAGACATGCGTCACCAACGCCCAGCTTGCAGATCACATTTAAATTACTGAGATACATTTCTTTCCTAGTTTAGTACATGATGGCAAGTGCTTTTACCCAATGAACCATCCTCAACCCTCTTTCCTGAATCTTAATCCTGTCTCTAGGAAGGAATGTTCCACTTTGGAGGAAATAGCTATGCAACAGCCAGTCACAGCTAGACAACTTGTTTTACAGTGGTGGAGAGCTGGCTTTAACCTCAGAATGACTACAAAGTTTGGCCTTCCAGTTAGGTTGCTAGAGGGAGGAATCCAGTATCATTTGAATCACTGACCAGCACAGTCATAAATACTATGACCAAATTGCCTGAGCAGGTTATTCCCAAGTGGGATGATCTCATTCCCCGAATTTCCAAGTGGGATGGCTTAATTCTCTGTAAGTACAAAGCATCTTTTATCCTAGGTGGTGATTTAGAATAAGATGAGTTGGGCTGAACTTCCAGTGTATTTGTTTGCAATAGGGATACTCAAATCTAGGGCCTTCATATGCTTTAGCACTGAGCTACATCTCCAGCCCTTGGATGTTAATGTCCTTGCATTATGGAACTTACATACATGAAATACTTTAGATTCTTAGGTTTTGTTAAGGTTTTAGGGCTAGAGATGTAGCATTCATGTAGGAAGTCCTGAGTTTTAAGTCCTGTCACCCCTTAAACTGGGCATGGTAGCAATGCTTGTAACTCCAGCATTCAGGAAGATCAGAAGTTCGTCATCTTCAGTTAAGAAGACGACTAGTTCAAGGCCAACATGTCTCCAACTTTAAGTAAAGAAGGTGGAGGAATGGCTCAGTGGGTGCTCGAGTTGGATTTGGTTCCCAGGACTCATGATAGAAGGAGAGAAGCAACTCCCAAAAGTTGTCCTCTGAACCTCCACACACTCTTCATGGCATTCCTGTGCCCCCCCCACTAAGTAAATATATGTAATAAGAATTTTGAGCATGAATATTTTGCTTGCATGTATGTATGTATGTGAACAACATGCATACCTGGAGACCAGAAGAGAGCAGGAGATCCTCTGGAGCTAGAGTTAGACAGGAGCCACATGTAGATGCTGGGAATTGAATCCTCTGCGAAAGCAACAAGTAAATACTCTAAAACTGCTGAACCATATCTCTCTTTCTCTCTCTCTTACACACACACACACATTATTATTATTTATTTTACAGTTAAACCATGTGGCTCTGGTTTACCTAGAAGTCACAGAGATCTACTTGTCTCTGCTTTGAGAGTGTTGGGATTAAAGGATTGTGTCACTATGCCTGGCCATTAACAGATTATTCTTGTGTTTCAGGGATAAATGTGTATTTAAATAATTTAGACTTGTGATTTTTAAGTTGTAACCTTAAATTTATATTAACACATTTAAAAAGACTTAATGAAGGCCCTAAACAGATCTCAGTGGTAGAGCACTTGTCTAGCTTGGGCAAGGCCCTGAAGTCATCCTCCACACACAAAAGAAGTAAATAAATAACCAACCAACCTCATTCCCTTTTGGCCAGAACCTATCTTTAGTGACTCAACGAATTAATAAGCACAAAAGGAGCCGTGCGGTGGTGGCGCATGCCTTTAATCCCAGCACTCGGGAGGCAGAGGCAGGCTGATCTCTGTGAGTTCGAGACCAGCCTGGACTACCAAGCGAGTTCCAGGACAGCCTCCAAAACCACAGAGAAACCCTGTCTCGAAAAACAAAAACAAAAACAAAAAAGCACAAAAGGACACCTGATACATGGTCTCTAGGACCTTTAAAAAACATTGGAATGGATCCTGTTCAAAAAAGAATGGTCCCAAAATGTCATCATTACAAGACTGGGTGAGTCTACAGTGTTACCTATTGATATTGTTGCAGAAAACAACAAATATTTGCTGGGAGAATTAGTGTGTCTATTGAGTGTCTTAAGCATTCTAGAGTTCTAAAGTGAGTAAAGGAAACGATTAGACAAAAGACACCAGAGAGAAAGGAACCTGTTCGGTTTCATCACCAATCTATTCCACCCACCCAAGAAGCCCATTTTGTGGAAACAAAGAACCTGAGCTGCTGGAACACGGCCCCTGAGAATTAATTCATGGCTTAGTAAGTGTAGAAAAATAAAAGGATTCCAGACCTAAAATGTTCCTACAAGTGCATAGAAGTACATGGTGTCTTGTCTCTAAAAGAAATATTTCTTGTGGTTTTTTTAATATTTACTTTCTTTTAAATTAGGTAGCCTGGTGGTAGTGGTGCACATCTTTAATCCCACTTGGGAGTCAGAGGCAGGTGGATCTCTGTAAATTTGAGGCCAACCTGGTCTACAGAGTGAGTTCCAGGACAGCCAGGACAGTGGTACAGAGAAAACCTGTCTCAAAAAAAGAAAAAAATATATATCTGTGTGTGGGTATGGAGTGTTAATCTAATTAATATTAATCAAAGAATCAGAAGTCAAATATTAGGGGAGGGGGCCTGAAAGATCAGAGAACCCGGAGCAGCCTCCAGTTGCTTCCTACCAGTCTCCTTCCTCCATCCCAAAAAGGCTGAGATCCTCTCTCCACCCCACTTACCACTCCTGTCTCCAACTCTCAAGTGCGCATGACCAACCAAGGCCCAGCTTCTATGGTTAACGAGTGGCTAGCTCCACCCTCTGATCTCCAGGCAAGCTTTATTTGTCAGAACACAAAATATCAGAATACATGGATATATACAGTGCATGTGCCTTTGGAGAGCAAGAGAGGAAATTGGATCCTCGGAGCTGGAGGGCTAGATTAGGAATCGTTCCGTGTGGGTGCTGAGAACCAAACTTGGGTTCTCTGCAAGAGCAGTACATGCTCTTGCTGTTCAGCTGTCTCACCAGCCCCCAAAGCAACTTTCAAAACTAATGTGTCCTACTTCACTTTTTTTTCTTGCTGAAAAGATATGAGGTGTGGTTTAAAGTATGAAACAAAGATTGTCTGTTGGTTAGAGAAAAAGCTTCATGACTCAGTATAAGTGCTTTTTATATTTACAGTAATTACAGGTGGGGATAGAGTTTGTAGAGTGCTTCACTAATGTGCACAAAACCCTAGGCTGAATTGTCATCACAAAAGAATTGATAGTGCATTCCAGAAGTGGGCACAGAAGGCTCAAAAATTCAAGGTCATCCTTAGCAACATAGAAAATTGAGATTAGACTTAGCCACAGGAGATCCTGTATATAAAAATACAATTTAAAAAACACAAAACAAGCAACAAAGAAACAACAACAGGCTTGAAAGGCATTGTTAGAAAATCAGGACACTTGGGGGCTGGAGAGATGGCTTAGAGGTTAAGAACACTGACTGTTCTTCCTGGGGTCCTGAGTTCAATTCCCAGCAAACACATGGTAGCTCACAATCATCTATAATGAGATCTGGTGCCCTTTTCTGGCCTGCAGACAGAACACTGTATACATAATAAATAAATCTTTAAAAAAAATCAGGACACTTAACAAAAGTTTTTTCATCGGTAGAACACTATTAAACTCAGTCTGGGTCTCACATGCTAGACCACAGGCTAGAAAGAGGAATTGTTCATTTACAAATGATGTTTCAAATGTTCACATAATTTTAATTGAGTTTATCAATGGAATCAGGGAAATGATTGTTATAACCTGTGAGATTAGGAATGACATTTTTAAAAAATTATTAAATTTCAGTCGAAATTAAGAATTAATCCCAGCACTCGGGAGGCAGAGGCAGGCGGATCTCTATGAGTTAGAGAACAGCCTGGTCTACAAGAGCTAGTTCCAGGACAGCCTCTAATGCCACAGAGAAACCTTGTTTCAAAAAAAAGAAAGAAACTAAGAATTAAAATTGGGCATTTCTGTGTTTATTAAGTATTAATTTAAAAAATCAAAATAACTTCAGAGTGATCTCTTGCTCATGAAAATTCCCCAGGTATCATGGGGGGGGGAGTAAAAGGAAGGAAGGAGAAAGGAGGGTCTTTCAGAGTAAAGGTGTGAACCTTGGAATCTGGGCTTGAGAGGATATGGAACCAGGAGGGGCCAATACTTATAAAGAAGAAAAATAGTTACTGTGAGACTAGAGGAGCAGCTCGTCAAACAACTAAATACATTGGAGCATCTTTACTGGATATCTAGATGGTGCAGCAATGTCTGAGGATGGCCCTAACTGGGGAGAGGGGAGGAGGCAGAGATAGTAGGAGTGAGACTGGAGAAGCTCATCGAACGACTAGACTAATGGGAGCATCCTCACTACAGATCTGGGAGATGAGGCAGTCTCTGGGGATGACCTATCTGAGAGGTGACTCTCGGGTGTCGCTGAGCTTGGGTTTGAGTGTGTGTCCAGTTAGAAACACCGTAGGTAAGGAGGAGCTCAGAGGCCTGATCCGTTTCGTATTTTGATCAAAGAATCACTGCTTTGCACAGCTCAGCTCAGCCAGGGCGCAGAGCTCCATAACCATCTGCACAAATGGTGGCCCTACCCCAGCATTGTGCAAGAACAGCCGGCGGAACTGCACACAGCGACCCTGCTAAACTCGGGAAACCGGGTTATGACAGGAGGTAAGCCCTTGGTAAGCGAAAGTCTGACCAAAACCTTCGGGCTTGGCAGTGTCCAGCCTCGTGAGTTCGGTATTTTATTTTCACAATTATTTCACAGACAATAAAAACAAAAGCAGCGACAAAATGTGATCCAACACGTACAACAAAGTTCTCAAAGCCCAGCCTCCGCACCTGAGTTTTTCCATTGTCAAGCCGCATGCGCGCGCCCCAGCCCCGCCCTCACACAGACGTGGGTCACGTGGGGCGTGTCTGTCTGCGCGCCTGCGCGTTGCAGGCCGACAGAGACCAGCCTGCCCCGGCCGCACTGGGGTTACATCCGCGGTGGGAGCCGCGCCTCAGGCTCCGCCGCCAGCCGGGGCTCGGGCTGGGGCCCGGGCCCCCGGGGATGGCCCTCCGGCCCACACAGGGCGACGGCTCCGCGGGCCGCTGGAACCGCGGCTCGGGGAAGGCAGGTACGGAGAGCAGCGGGCTAGGGCGACCAGCGAGGGCCGCGCAGTGGCTGGGGCCTGAGGGGGGCGGCGACGGATGAGGAGGAACCGGGCCTCGCCCTGGCCGCCGCCCGCCACGTCCGCAGAGCCGGCCGCCTTTGCTAGGTGGCTGCCGGAGCTCCGGCCCGCACTCTGCACTCGTGACCCTAAAATTCCCCTCTTCACGCGCACCCACACAAACTCGTGCAAAGTCGCCACTGTCCAATTCCAGAAACTCCAGTCGGTGAGCTCTCCACCCCACACTCACTCTCAGATCAGCTACTTTCTGGTCCTTCCTTGGGCCACCTATGTTAGTGTTCGGTTGTGCACAAAGCAGTGATGTTTTCTATACTCTTTTCCGTCTAAACCATTTCTGTGAAATCTTGGTTTTGTTGTGCACGTGTTCTGGAATACATTTCCTATATGGTGGCTACTTGTTGGTGAGGATTCCGGTACCAGGTGAGCTAATCCAAAGGCTCTGTTCCACTTCCGCCCCCTGACAGGTGGTGTGCATATTAGAACTGACCCTATTATCTCACCCGCTTGTTTGGATGTTGCTCCCAGAGTTCAGGTCTTGTTTCTCCGGGCTCATTTTCTGTTAATCCTCTTTTTCTCATCTGATAACTGGCCTCAACTTAGGCTCTGTCTATGAGCTACTTTCCTAGGCTCTTTGGTATTTGTCGGTGTGACATCTGTCATTATGGCACAATAGCCAGTGTCCCTGTGACATGGGTCGTGTGACTTGTTGCAGTACAGCTATGTCTTGGTTGCAAAACTTCGGACCCTCCAGCTTGTCTGGATGGAAAGGGAATTCAGAGGATCTTTCTTAGTTTAGATTGGTTTTAAATATATTGGTGACCAAATTACTAATTGCTGTAATTTAAGAAAAGCGGCGCGCTCGAGAAAGACGACATGCTACAGGGTTCAAGCAGAGGGGTTTTTATTAGGGAAAGGGATCATAAAAAGGGGAAAGGGAAGAGGAGAGACTGGCCTCTGAAGACAAGAGCAGCATAAGAGAGGAAAGAAGGGTGCAGAGAGACAGAGACAGACATACAGACACACACACACAGAGGAACAGACAGATGGAAGGAGAACAGCGAGAGAGCAGGAGGGGGAGGGGGGAAAGGATGCGAGGTGGGCAGGGCCCTTTTTAAAGGGGAACAGTGAATATGCATAGGTGGTGCTCCTAGTGACTGCAGCTGAGAGCATATCCTGTCAGAACCCAAGGACAGGCCAGTACAGATGCCTGAATACTAACACCCTCCTTTTAGGGCTTTATGGCCAGATTGGTGTGCTCTATTTATCTCTATTCAGTACAGTATTCTTTCTTTGAAGAGGGTAGGAAGTGCTGGATGCTGGACCAGGGACCCCGAGCTACATGGCTAGGGCCCTTTACAGTTACTTTACCCTTGAACTTACCATCTTCCTGCTTCAATCTGTCTTTAAGTTAGTACTTAAATGAATTCCTTCTAGTTGGGTTACGTTTTTTTTGTGGGGTGGGGAGTGGTTTTGAGACAGGGTTTCTCTGTAGCTTTGGAGGTTGTCTTGGAACTAGCTTTTGTAGACCAGGCCGTCTACCTCTGCCTCCCGAGTGCTGGGATTAAAGGCGTGAGCCACCACTGCTTGGCCCGTTTGATTACATTTTATAGAGATGAATTAGTACTATCAAAGAAAAAGGGCACTTGGTTTATTTTCTTTTAACAGGACTTTTACCATGAATATAAGATTTTCGTGGTTCACTGTCTTATGTCTTATACAGACTTGCTGCTCAAACATTTTTCCCTTTCCTTTTTTGTTTTGTTAGCGGGGTATGTTTTTCAAGACAGGGTCTCACTGTGTGGCTCTGGCTGTCCTGGAACTCACTGTGTAAACCAGGCTGGCCTCCAACTCAGAGACCAGCCTGCCTCTGCTAGAACTAGAGATGTTAGACACCACCGTCCAGGCTGCCTGGCTATTTATTTGTTTATTTTTAATGTTTCTTTTGAGATCTGGTCCACACTGGCCTTGAACTCTTTGTAGCAGAGGATAGCCTCTTCTGTATCTTCTCCCTCTACCTCCGTGGTGTTAGGTACAGGCATGAACTGCCACACCTGTCAGTGCTACTATTTTTCTAGTCTGTGTTGTTCCAGTATATGTGCTGTGGAACCCAGCACATTGCTAACAGTTTTGTTTGGTTAGATTTGGGAAACAGGGTCTCAGCCTTGACTGGCCTGAAGCTCCCTATGTAGACCAAACTGTCCTCCAAAAGCTTTACAATCTTTCTTTAAACAGAAGTTAAAATTGGATTTCAAAACACTAATATTTCCCCAAACCAGAATAGTATTCCTATAGAATGTTAGCACTGCCTCAGCATAGTAGTCCACACTTTGAATCCCAGTACTCAGGAGGCAGAGGTAGGCAGGTCTCTGAGTTTGGTGCCAGCCTAATCTACATAGAGAGTTCTCAGTCAGCTAAGCTACAGATTGAGACCCTGACTCAGAAATGAGATGAAGTGGGTAGAGGCTAGGGCTATCGATCAGTAGGCGATTACTTGCCTATAGTACGTGAAGCTCATGGTTCTTTCTCCAGTACCAGGAAGGAAAAAGAAAAAAGATCTGCTTGGGTGGCCCTTATTAAAATAAGCATGTTAGGGATAGGGGTTTAGCTTAGTACTAGCACATACTTATCTGCCACGTACAAAGCCCTAGGCTCTAGCCCCAGTGCCATGAAAAAAAAAATCATTGGAGAGCAGGCCAAGAAGTAGTGCCATTATCATATCTAGGGTTTATTTATACGAGTTTTAATGTTTTATAAAAACAAAGCAAAACAAAACAAAAAACAGCAACCATTTTGTTTTATCATGGTGATGATAGCCAAGTCCTCTTCCACAAAGGAATTTGGAAGCTCTCATCTTTGGAGTATATGATGCACCACTCCTCTAAGTGAAACATAAATCGTTACTTGAGTTTACCTTAAAATAAAGCAGGGATGAGCCGGCACTGGTGGCGCACGCCTTTAATCCAGGCACTCAGGAGGCAGAGTCAGGTGGATCTCTGTGAGTTCGAGGCCACCCTGGTCTACTGAGTGAATTCGAGGACAGCCTCCAAAGCGACAGAGAAACCCTGTCTCGGGGGGAAAAAAAATAAAAATAAAGCAGATAGCAGACATGTGTTTCAATCTTTGATTAAAGAAGGGGTAACTATGACTTTTCTCTTTGTAGGATAAATAGGATATTTGTGAATTAGTTGTTCATTGGTGACCCTGATGCTCTATTCTGTAGGCTAGCCGTTGGCCTCACTGTAGAGTTTCTACAGCTCTAGCTCACTTGAGTTCTCTGAGTTGTTTTCTTTTTCTGTATTACAATGATATGCTACACATTAGACTCAGGGAAGTATGTGTAGGGGTGGCATATGCAGGAAAGACTTCCTCATCTGCCACTAAGCTTTTAGCTCATGACTACTGAGTACGTGTGGAGGTCAGAGGATAACTCCCACGGGTCAGTTCTCCTGCCACCTTGTGAGATCTGGAGATAGTCATCTGGCTTGTATGCAAGCACCTTTTCCCACTGAGCTATCTCTGGTTTTGCCAACGTTTCCTACTGGGAGGTTAAGGTTAAGGAAGGCAGTATCCTAGTGGCCAAACAGCACTCCAAATCCACACTTGAGTACCCTCCTTAGGGAAGCACCCAGAGTTGTAAGGAAAGCCAGAAAATCTGCAAAGCTGTTTAAAATTTTGCAGTGAGCCACACAATAGTGTGGGAAAAAGTAATGCTACTTACTATGGGGCAGTTTTTTCCAGGCGAGCAGAAACTAATAAGTTCAATAATTTATTCTACTGTACATGAACTTTTTGAGTTCCACATAGTCAAAGTCAAGGGTTAACCAGGTTCAGTGTGCACACCTTTAACCCCAGCACTCAGAAGGCAGAGGCAGTCAGAACTCTTGAGTTCCAGGCCAGTCTGGTCTACAGAGCAAGTTCCAGAACATCCAAGACTACAAAGAGAGACCCTGTCTTAAAAAACAAAAACAACAAAAAGCTGAAAGTATCAGGGAGAATTAAGTAATGGAGCTGTGGTTTGGTCCAGAATTAGTTAACTCATGGCTGTGTCTTTGTCTAAACCTCATGGGAATCCAGAAGATTGCAAGCTATGTTCTTTCCCTGTATTACTGAATAGCTTGCTGGGAATGAGCAGAAACAAGTTTTTTCCATACTCTTGGTGACAGGTCAGCAAAAGTTGGAAGTGACTTTGGGACTGCCACCTGAATGCTCTTCCCTGTGGTGTGTGGAATGTGCAAGGGTACTTACTGCCAAAGTTTACATGGCGCTTGTATTGTACTCAGAGTTGGAAACTAATTCAGTTCCTGCTCAGTTTCCTCCTCAATCTGTGCTGCTGAGGACACAGCATGAGTTGCTCCCATGGTCGGTGGGGATACTTGTGAAATATGCATAAGCCCTGAGTTCATTCTCAGCACTGCATGAAAAAATTTAAAAAACAACAAAAAAACATTGCTTACCCTTCTTGATCCTCTTGGAAAGCATACAACCTTGTCTTCGAAGGATGTAGCCTTGCCGAGAAAGCCCAGACTGCCTACTGAGAGAATCCCAAGAGTTTTGGCTCCCCTACTCCAGTCGTAACTTCCTTCTGTTCTCTCCCTGGGCCTGTTTCTTGGCGTTAGTGTTTTGCTTACATGACATGTCTTTGCTTACATACTTTCCTGTGCCAGGAATACTCTGCCTTTGACACACTCTTCTGTGTGGCAGTTTTCAGAGGGTTCAGAATCAATCCTGGGAAAGCCTTTCCTTATTACCGTAGAAATACTCTGTCCTCTGCCACCTTTCAGGACTCTCATACCCTGTGTAATAACTGTGCCCTTCCTGCTGTGAGCTTCTCGGGAACTGTAAAAGAGCCATTGCTCATCCCTCACCTCAGTGCTTCATACAACCCGTTAGAATGGCCTCCTAGTGAAGTTCATCCCTCACCTCAGTACTCATACAACCCGTTAGATGGGCCTCCTAGTGAATGGGAGCCAGCAGGAGGCACAGGGAGGAAAGAGCTCACGTAGCTCAGAAACACTTGGCTGAGGTCCTTTCCTGAGAGAAGAGCTTGACTTTTTTTTATTTCTAGGTAAAGGAGCCATTTAATTTAACACCCAGCATGGGCCAGTCTGGAGAGTGAAGAGAACAGTGTGACTTTACTCTTGAGAAGTTATGCTCAGAGGCTAGACTTATATCAGGAACACTCTCTTGTGTCACTAGGGACAATAGCAACAGTCTAGCAAGAGAGCAGGTTTACCTAGGTCAGAAATCACTGTTATCTTCCTGTCTGACCTCCAATTGCATGTGACTCCAAAGCTCTGTTTGTGTGGTTCATGTGTTGTAGCTCATTCAGGAAGGTAACCAGGACTCTTAATTCCAGTTTGTGTTAGTAATGTCACCTTTGTCATGAACACAGTTGTAGACTGTTGTCTCAGAATGGGACATTATGGAGGTCATCTGTTCAGTACCTCTTCCAGAATCTAAAATACTGTGTGATATTGTCACTTAAGTCTGACCACCTTCCTCTGGTGGTGTCCACTTACTTTAACCCTAGTATCTAGTATCTGTTTTATAGATGTGTGTGTGTATGTGTAGGTTTACTGGACCTACTGTAGTTTCTTCTGGTGGTATTCCTTACTTTAACCCTAGTATCTAGTATCTGTTTTATAGATGTGTATATGTATGTGTAGGTTTACTGGACCTACTGTAGTTTCTTCTGGTGGTGTCCCTTACTTTAACCCTACTATCTAGTATCTGTTTTATAGATGTGTGTATGTATGTATAGGTTTACTGGACCTACTGTAGTTTCTTTGCACTCTTGGCCTTACTATCTACATACAGGTTTTCTTGACAGTTATAGTGTACTGCCTTGTGACATTTGGTGCTTTTGTGTTGAAATTCTTGTGCTTTATTTTCTCAGTGGTGAAGGTAACCTAAAAATCTAACAAGTGTCATCTATAGTTCATAAAAGTAGATGTTGAAAACCAAAAGGCTTTGTACTATTGAAATAGAAGAACTAAGACAGATAACAGTCTCAGATACTCAGATACGTATCCCTGCTTTTTTTTCTTTTTTTGGTTTTTTGAGACAGGGTTTCTCTGTATTGTTTTGGAGGCTGCCCGAGAACTCGCTCTGTAGACCAGGCTGGCTCAAACTCACAGAGATCCGCCTGCCTCTGCCTCCCGAGTGCTGGGATTAAAGGCATGCGCCACCAGCGCTGGCTCATCCCTGCTTTCTAAAAAGCTAATTTTTGAGGCAGAGGCAGACAGATCTCTATGAGCTCAAGGCCAGCCTGGTCCTATAAAGTGAGTTCCAGGACAGCCAGGGCTTTACAGAGAAATCCTGTCTTGAACCCCACCCCCCCTCTTCTACCAGATAAAAACTCATTTTTGTTTGTTTTTTGAAATAGGATCTTATAGCTAAGGCTGGCTTTGAACTTAGAATACTGCTGAGTCTACCTCCTAAGTGCTGGGAATAAAGGCATACTCCATTATACCTAGCTTCTAAGAAGAACATTTCAACGTTATAAGCTGACTGTAAATAACAGACTCTTGTATATGAATGTGAGGTGCTTTGTGGCTGGGATGTAGATCAGTTGGTAGGGTGCTAGGAAGCCCTGGGTTCAATCCCCTGCATTGCATAGTCAAGCATGACAACACAGGCTCCTGTTGCAGCACTTGGGAGGCAGAGGCAGGAGAGGAGGATCATGGTTATTCTTGGATACATGGAGGACAAAAGACAGGGGCTAGGAAGATTGCACAGGAGTTAAGAGCACTTACTACTCATGCAGAGGGCCTGAATTCAGTTCCCAGCATACATGTGGCTGCTCACAACCATCCTTAACAGTAGTTGAGGGAATCTGAAACTTCTTTTTCTGACTCCATTGGCCCCAGGCTTTGAGGTACTCACACAGACATGCAGGCAAAACATAAATATATAGAGAAAATAATAATAACATACCACTTTGATTGCCAAAGATGAGTGTGACTTTAATTTTTTTTTTATTTTTTATTTTATGTGTATGAGTGCTTATCTTCATGTATGTGTATCTGGTACCTGCAGAGACTAGAAAAGGATGTTGGATTCCCTAGGAACTGGAGTTACGGGTAGTTGTGAGCTGCCTGATGTGGTACTAGGAACTGAGTTAGACCCTCTGGAATGCACTGTACACTTTTAACTGAGGAGCCATCTCTCCAGCCCTGAATGTGACTTTTGGGAAACTGTTGACTTTCGTACAATGTTACAGCTTCTTAAACTACCAGACACACTAGAAACCCACACTCCTTTGACATTTGGCTTTCTAGCTTTGACATTTTCTATTCTAACTTTTTACTAGTTCTGTTAGCCTGTGGCTGGAGACTTGTATATAGTTTTGTTAAAATGTAGTTTTTTTTTTTTTTCAGTGCTAGGGGTTGAATCCAGGATGTCTAGTATGCTGTGCAGGACCTCTACCACTGTACTCCCCACCTCAAGAAAAACACTTGTATTGAGATATCTCTGTTCTGTGAAGTTTGAACAGGAAAACATTGATAGCAGCTGCTAGATCCACTGGTACTTACTGAATACTTCCTAAAGCTATAATTCCTTGTTACTTATATGGGGTATGGCCATAGTGTTTTCCACACTGTGTGATAAATGTGTGGGTTGTGTAAGGCGCAAGCATGAAGAAGGTCCTGATTCACCTCAAACTGAGTTAGGCCGGGGACTCTGAAGCAGAAAACGGCACATGCCAAGTGTGCTCTTCACCCTCTGCATGCACACCATTTACCTGTTTGTTTCCCCAGACTTTAATGCCAAAAGGAAAAAGAAGGTGGCAGAGATACACCAGGCTCTGAACAGTGATCCCACTGATGTGGCTGCCCTGCGGCGAATGGCGATCAGTGAGGGAGGTCTCCTGACGGATGAGATCAGGTGCCAAGTGTGGCCCAAGCTCCTCAATGTCAACACCAGTGAGCCACCGCCTATGTCACGTAAGGAAGCAAAAGCCTGGGGTGGGGAGTTTCGATCAGGAATTGAAACATTGTCTGGCTAGAGTTTATTAAAAATGCCTATCTTAGGGGGCTGGAAAGATGGCCCAGCAGTTAAGAACACTTGTTGCATTTACAGAGAACCTGGGTTCAGTTGCCATCACAAATATAGTGACTCACAACCTTCTGTAACTCCAGTTCCAAGAGACTTGATGCCCCTTTCTGGCCTCGGGGAACTACAGGAATGCTGAGATTCCTTGTAGTTCCAGAATTCTTTAATTCTGCTAGAACTGTTACTTAATAAATTTGTAAACCATGCAATGAAGAGAGTCCCAAGAAAGCACTTGAGAACAAGTACTATAGCCCGTGCCTACCCTGCCACCTCTGTGTGCTTGCTGGCTGTTCTGGGGCTTCTCTAGTTCATTTGGCAAATCTTGGAGTTCTGGTGTATGCCACATACTGGACATGATTAAAATGAGTCATGCTAAAAAGTTTGATGATGTGTTGCCAAGTGGATGCTGGGTTGCCACTTGTTACAGATGTTTGAAACTGGCTGCCTGGGAGCTGTGGGTTTTATGTTAGAAGTGCAGTCAGGTACTTTGTCCTGGATTGTCATTCTAAACTGCTCCTTTCTGAAAATAAGATGAAGTGTGTGTGTGTGTGTGTGTGTGTGTGTGTGTGTGTGTGTGTGTGTGTGTGTAAGTCATGCACAGGCTCCTCAGATAGCTTTCTGTGTGGATTGTGAGGGAAATATATGTATATATCTGTAAACCATCTCTCTAGCTCAGTCAATAAGAGCATTCACCTAGCTTTCACAAAGTTCAATCATAGTACTATATAAAACTAGCTGTGCTGGCACATGCCTGTAATCCTAGTGCTGGGTGGTAGCAGCAGGAGAATCAAGAGTTCAAAGTCACACTTTTAATCTCAGCACCCAAGAGACAGAGACAGGTGAGTTGAGACCAGTCAGGGCTAAACAGAAATCCTCTCTCTCAAAAAAAATTAAAATAAAAATAAAAAAGTGAATGAGTTCAAGGTCAGGGCTGGAGAGATGCTCAATGTTTAAGAGCACTAGTTGCTTTTCCAGGGGATTCAGGCTTGATTCTCAGCACTCACAGAGCAACTAACAACTGTCTTTTTTTTTTTTTTTTTTTTTTGGTTTTTCGAGACAGGGTTTCTCTGTGGCTTTGGAGGCTGTCCTGGAACTCACTTTGTAGACCAGGCTGGCCTCGAACTCACAGAGATCCGCCTGCCTCTGCCTCCCGAGTGCTGGGATTAAAGGCGTGCTCCACCAACGCCCGGCACTAACAACAACAGCTGTCCGGTTCCAGGGTCTCTAACACCCTCTTCTGACCTTTTTGGGTATTGCATATGTCCAGTGTACAGACATATGTATCGGCAACCCTCCCCATACACACTTAAAATAAAAATAAATCCTGTTTGTTTGTTTGTTTTGTGGGTCAGGGTTTTACTGCATAGCCTTGGCTGTCCTGGAACTCACTCTGTAGACCAGGCTGTCTTGAACTCACAGAGATCTATCTGCCTTTGCCACTTGAGTGCTGGGAGTAAAGGCATATGTCACCATCACCCATCCAAAAGGAAATACACACACACACACACACACACACACACACACACCCTTTCAAAGTTCAGTTTGATGCTTGAATATGAGTTGTTTGTTAGCATTCCTGTTTCCCTCCAGAGCCATTTCCATGCACATGTCTTCAGATGCTCAAGGCTCTGTATGTCGAGTTACAGTGCTCTAATGCTGCGCACTTACTGTGCCACCTTCCTAATGCTAGTCAGTCCTTGTGGTAACCTGAGAGGTATACATGGACAGGAACAGCCTCACTTTACCCATGAGGACAGTGGCAGTCCACAGTAGCCTAGACCTCTTGACCTTATTGCCCCCTCCCATCCTTCATATTGCTCAGGACAGTCTTTTCCCTCTTCTGTGCTCATCAGACTTGAAACACTTGTGTTCAGAACTAAGCTAGGGATTATTTGTTAAATGTGTCTTTACTGGTTGTTTTGTTTTTAGTGGCAGTGGGCATCAAATTCAGGGCCTTGCATGTGCTAGGCAAGTATTCTACATTAAGCTGTGTCCCTGGCCGCCTCCCTTTTAGCATTCCCCATCCTTTTTTTGTTTTTCATTCTTTTCAGATTTTTATTTTGGATGGGGTCTTGCTGGATAGCCTAGGTTGACTTCAAACCTGAGGCAGTCATCCTGCCACAGTCTCCCAGAGATGGGGAGTACAAGTGTGAGACAGCTGGAGAGATGGCTCAGTGGTTAAGAACACTGACTACTCTTCCAGAGGACCCAGGTTCAATTACCAGCACTCACATGGCGGTTCACAACTGTGTGTGTCTCCAGTTCCAGGGAATCCTACACCTTCATGCAGACATAAATGCAGACAAAAAACCAAGGCACATAAAACAAAACACACACACACACACACAAAACAAGTGTGAGCCAGTACCTGATGCTTAGATTGGGTGTTATATCTTAAATCGTGTCTTTTTGAGGAAAAGGCTGCTCTGTGTGTCCTCTAGGCCCCCACTGTCATTCTAGGAAGTAGTTTCTCTTACTGTTTGCTTTGTGATGGTGCGTCTAAAGCTTGCTAGGTTAGCTCTCTACCACTGAACTGTACTGAAAGCCCCAGAAGAATGTACTCCTTCTCTGGTTTCCCAGGCCTCTTTGCAGTAATACCACGTTCTTCTTCCTCTGATAGGGAAGGACCTTCGACAGTTGAGCAAGGATTACCAGCAAGTGCTACTGGATGTCAGGCGGTCTCTTCGGCGCTTCCCTCCTGGTGAGCAGATTGCCCAACTTGCCGCATCTGGAGTGAGGCTTTCTTTCCCTTTGCATTTATCTTTTTGTGTTGATGCTTGCCAGGGTTAGGGTGTTGCCTTCCCAGCAACCAGAGACACACATGCAGAACCCTGCTCTCAGGCACTTGAACGGGTGCCCTCACTGTGGATCCCTTGTGACTCAGAGGCGTCGAGTAAGAGAAGCAGCTCTTGCGACCTTGTCTGCCTTTGTGCCCTGGAGAAGCTTTGTAGGGCAAGGGGTCTGGCTTGAGAGAGCAGGTTGGTTCGGAATTATACTCTAATGGGAACTATTAATGTCTTCATTTGGTGAGTGTTACCTCATATGTATGGTTCCTGGGTCCCTTGTGATGGAGGGAGTCTTTCCTTGCATGTTCATATAGTATATTCCTGAAATTGCCTCCTGTTTTCCAAGACAAGAAAATGACCTAGCTTTGTATTTTCATAATGGAGGGAACTATGCGCCAAACCTCATCTGTATAATCTAGCTTTCTTCCCGTGTAACTTTACCTTGACTTTTGAAGAGATACAGGTGCCTCTAACTCTCTTGCCACACTTGACTGACGCAAGCTCTGGTTGAGACACATGTATTACAGGGCTTCTGCCCTACTTGGATCTTTTCTTCCTGGGAGGCTCATGAGGCTCCCACAAGGCTGGTAGCCAGCAGCGTGGTTATGATAAAACATATCCTGTGTCCCAGTCCTCTTTTTCCTACCCTGCTGGTCCAGTTGAGGCAATATAGGGCAGGTGTCTCCCTATTATCCTCTGCATCCTTTACTCATTGTCTTTATGTCACCAGTCTGTGATGATCTTCTTGGACACTTGATCCTCCTTGACATTTTAAACCCTTTCCATTCATGTCTTCTGAACTAGCCTGACCAATCATAAACAGAGATTCAATCAGGCTGTAGTACTTGCTCATTGCTTTCATGGTGTCACTTAGTTCCTGTCTTCTTCATTTATCTTTACAGTATACTTCTTTTGAGAAGATGGAATTACTATGCTCTAACTTGAACCTTTATAGTGCAGTTTAATGTGGGCCCTTACCTTGTTGTTTTTGCTCACGAATCCTGCTTGTAACAGAAAGCTAAGCTAAGAATATAAGAAGGCTGTGCTTGGTGACATTCTTCTAAAATATATCATGAGATCAAGACTTGATATCCTCCACCTCCCTAAGTGATGACCTCAGTTATTTCCATTTACAACTCATTCTTGGAACTCAAAATTCATTGCATTGCCCGTGGGCTCTCACACACACCAGGCAGTTCAGCCTTCCACCAGTTTACACTGACCTGCTGTGCACCATCCTGTGGCAGGCTGCCCACCCTCTCCTGTCAGTTTTCCACAGGGCCACATGTCTATGTTGGTCACTGTGCAGCTCCTGGGTGCATTCCTTTTTTTTTTTGCGTGGGGGGTGGGGTGCGGAGGTTTGCAAGACAGGGTTTCTCTGTATTGTTTTGGAGGCTGTCCTGGAACTCACTCTGTAGACCAGGCTGTCCTCGAACTCACAGAGATCTGCCTGCCTCTGCCTCCCGAGTGCTGGGATTAAAGGCGTGTGCCACCAACACTCGACGCATTCCTTTATTTTTCATGTGGCTTTTTCAAACTGAGTAAGGCAGGACTCTGCTGAGCAGCAAAGATGACCTGTTTCTCAGTAACCATTTTTTCCAGTTCACACAATAACAAAAGTTGCAATTTTCTTGGTTGATTTTTTTTTTTTAGTAGAGAAATTGGAACAGATTGTGACAGCCTTCCAACTAACAGCAGCTTTGGTTTCTTTGCTGCTGTGGTTTTTAACTCCCTTATAACAAAGCCTTGAGGTTCAAGGTCATTTTCAGATCCTGGAGTGCTAGCCTTAATGACTTTGGTTGTCCTGATCTTGTTACATGGACTGCTCATGGCCTAATCCCCTTTGAGCTCTGACTATAGGAAGAACAGGTTCATGATTCTTTGTCAAAATAAACGCACCAAAGAACCACAGGTTGTAGCTTACTGGCCTTATACCTAGAGGTGCCTTGACCTGGTGCCTCTGCTTCCAGTTGCAGCTGGAAACTGAGATCATCTTAGAACATTGGCTTTGTAGAGGAGAAGAATACAACAGTTTTAATGTTCATATAATTCCTTATATAATTTCATTCCAAGAAGTAGGGCAAAGATACTTTTCTGCTGATCTTATAGTCACATTACCTGTTCCTTTTGATACATACACACGTAATTTTGTTTCTGAACCATTTAAGGTAAGCAGCCATCATAGTTCCCTTTTGTCCAAAATATCTAATCCACAGAATAGTTCATCTTTCACCATTTATTTTTATCACAAAAGGAAGTACAGATTCATGGATTTGCTGCTCGAGTCCTCTTTTGAGCCTCCTTTAATGTCAACAGCTGCTTTGTGTGCATGGCAGGCCAGTTACTTTGTCACTTTCTGCTTTGTCTGGTGTTTCCTTGTGAGGTTCAAGGTCATGTCTATGATACTGGTGACAGGAGAGCCACTGAAATGCAGAGTTCATGGCAGCATGACATCTTAGAGGCATGTGCACTCTTTTTTTTTTTTTTTCCTTTTCTTTTTGGTTTTTCAAGACAGGGTTTCTCTGTGGCTTCGGAGGCTGTCCTGCAACTAGCTCTTGTAGACCAGGCTGGCCTTGAACTCACAGAGATCCGCCTGCCTCTGCCTCCTGAGTGCTGGGATTAAAGGCATATGCCACCACCGCCTGGCTGGCATGTGCACTCTTTCCCAGTGATTGGCCATGTTGACTGTAAGGTTTTAGTTAGGCGATTTTGCCAGGCCCCCTACTGTGTGGCTTTTCCTGTGTCAGGTGCCATCAGTAATATGTAGATTTTTCAAGGGATTGCCAACTTGTTTGTAATTCATTGTTTCTTACTGGACACTTTTCTCTGAAAATCATTGCTGGCCTAATCTGTCACTAGGTCCCTTGCCAATTCAGATGCATCTCCTCTCCCCAGGCATGCCAGATGAGCAGAGAGAAGGGCTTCAGGAAGAACTAATCGACATTATTCTCCTCATCTTGGATCGCAACCCTCAGCTCCACTACTACCAGGGCTACCATGACATTGTGGTCACTTTTCTGCTGGTGGTGGGCGAGAGACTGGCAACATCCTTGGTAGAAAAATTGTCTACGCATCACCTCAGGTACCTGTGCATCTGGTTTCATGCCAGGATGAGTGTCACTCCCCTGGCCTCCTCAGGATAGTCAGGTGTCTGAATAGTTCGAGCCCAGTCCATTCACCATCCCTAATCGGCATATTGGACATGTACAAGTGCATTGACTGGATTATCTTCCCATAGGGATTTCATGGATCCCACAATGGACAACACCAAGCACATCCTAAATTATCTGATGCCCATCATTGACCAAGTGAATCCAGAACTTCATGACTTCATGCAAAGGTGAGTCTATATTTGTGTATATACTAGACACACATAGCAGCCCAGCACCATGCTCTTTTGACTTTTTGTTTCTTCATAAATCTAACTTAATGCATCATCATATTAATGGCTAGTGTTAAATTCTTCAAGCTTCTTTCTGTCCATTAGAGGTCTGAATAATTCAGGCCTGTCCCCAGTCTTGGAGAACTTAGTGGATACTCTGCTTTTGGGTCATGTAGGGATGACAGCTCATGGCTTGAGGGGCTTACATCTGGTGGGTATGTCATGAATTCTCACAAGAGTAAGGCAAATGCGACTTGTGGAGTCACATGCCTGTAGTGCAGCACTAGGAAGGTAGAGACAGAAGGATCAAAGAGTTCAAAGCCAGGGGCTAAAGAGACAGTTCAGTGGTCAAGAGCCCTTGTTGTTCTTGAAGAGGACCAGCATGCAGTTCCCAACACCCACATTAGGTGGCTCATAACTGCCTGTAACTCCAGCTCCAGGGAATCCAACACCACCTTCTGGCTTCCATGGGCAACTACATGCACATGTACATAGTAACACACAGACACCATACAAGATGGCTGTCAGGCTGTTCTGAGGCTCCTCAGATTCTCCTGTAGCCCTGTTCTTCTTTCTCTTAACCACTGGGCCATCTCTCTAGACCTAAGATGTTGTGTTTTTTTAAGAAGATGCTAATGTGGTTACTAACACCTTTAATCCCAGCATAAGGTGGGGGGTGACACACAGGTGTATCTCTTGAGTTTGAGGTCTGCCTGGTCTATTGAGCTCCTAGGACAGCCAGGGTTCCACAGAGAAACCCTGTCTCAAACAAACATAGATAGAAGATGATATGGATGGGTGGGTGGATGGATGGATGGAGAAAAAGAAAACGATGCTGGGTTCCTACATGGCATTATTTTTCAAGAAGTATATTTCCCATATATGTCTTCCTCATCAGCTATTAAGAACAAAGACAGCTCAGAGAAAGGGAAGGGATGAGCTGGGTGGTACCTAACATCTGAATTTCCTTTGCTCCTAGTGCTGAGGTGGGGACCATCTTTGCCCTCAGCTGGCTTATCACATGGTTTGGGCACGTCCTGTCGGACTTCAGGCACGTTGTGCGGTTATACGACTTCTTCCTGGCCTGCCATCCACTCATGCCCATTTACTTTGCAGCTGTGGTAGGTACACACTGGGAGATAGTGACTAGGTTCACTGTCACCCACCCAGCCTGGTCAGTGTTCTTAAAGGGGACAGTAGCTCCCCAGCTGGTGGCCCACTCCACAGTCTGAGAAGTGTTAGGAAATGTTAGTTAAGCAGCTATTCTCACTTTACAACGCCTGACCCTTCAAAGTACTAGAGTGCCGTGCGACTGTCAGTGACCCTGCTGACACCTTTTGGAACTTTTTAGTTAATAGACATCATGGTAGGCACAGGTGACAGTTAAGTCTGCCTGCCGGTGCCAGGCTTCAGGAAGGCAGAGGCATGGTATTAGGTTTGAAAGGGGAGTGGCTTGTGGAAGTGGCAGGCTCGTTACCAAGAGGGTTGAGTGGAGTGCAGAGTGGCTGTCAGCCATGTGTACATGAGCACTCTTGTCAGGAGGATGCCTAAAGGAGGCAAGATGGCTGTCAGGCTGTTCTGAGGCTCCTCAGATTCTCCTGTAGCCCTGTTCTTCTTTCTCAAAAGATGTCAGTTTGTCTCAAGGCTTAGGGTGACTCTTGAGCAGATGGATGTTCTAGAAGAGGACTTGCTAGAATTGGTCAGTCTTTCACGTTATAGTTGGAGTGGATATAGCATTTGTCAAACCTTTGGGCTGAGCACTGTTTGTTACTAAAAGTTAGGTCTATGTGTAAAGAAAGGCAAGGGACCAGATCCTGTGCTTCTGGTGTCTGATTCAAAGCCTGCCTTTGCCAGATTGTGCTGTATCGGGAGCAGGAAGTCCTGGACTGTGACTGTGACATGGCCTCTGTCCACCACCTATTGTCCCAGATCCCTCAGGACCTGCCCTATGAGACGCTCATCAGCCGAGCAGGAGACCTCTTTGTTCAGTTTCCCCCTTCTGAACTTGCAAGGGAGGCAGCTGCACAGCAAGAGGCTGAAAGGTGAGGTGGGCTAGGTAGGCACTGCTGCAGCTGGGGCAGCGGAAGCCAGCAGGGGGTGTGGGACCAGGTGCTGACAGAGGTCTACACTGGAGCAGATTCTGGACTACAGGCCAGACAGCTGGGGCAGCGGAAGCCAGCAGGGGGTGTGGGACCAGGTGCTGACAGAGGTCTACACTGGAGCAGATTCTGGACTACAGGCAACACGGGTCTTTGTCCAGAGGAGTCTGCTCTTCGGCAGACCTCTCAGTGTCTTCTGCCCCTCTGTGCTACCTTCTGCTCCCATCCACAGAACGGCAGCCTCTACTTTCAAAGACTTTGAGCTGGCATCAGCCCAGCAGAGGCCAGACATGGTGCTGCGGCAGCGGTTTCGGGGACTTCTGCGGCCTGAGGCTCGAACAAAAGATGTCCTGACCAAACCGAGGACCAACCGCTTTGTGAAGCTGGCAGTGATGGGTCTAACGGTGGCACTTGGGGCAGCGGCACTAGCAGTGGTGAAGAGTGCCCTGGAGTGGGCCCCTAAGTTCCAGCTGCAGCTGTTCCCCTAAACTGAGCCCAAGGAGCCACTTCCTTACCCAGTGCACCAAGCTCTCCCCATTTCCAGAAAGGCACTAGAGGGTGGACTTGCTGGAATTAAAGGGTTTCTGTCAGGGGTGTTCCATTCTACCACCCTTGAGCTTGTCTTTAGGCTTTGTGGCTGATGGTAACACTGCCTGACACTGGGCTTAGTGGCCCTGAGTGCTCTCTGCTCCTCAACTGTTGCAAGTGGCTCTGGTGCACCCGGCTACACAGTTCACTGCCTAGGAGAAAGTTGGGCCAAAGATGGTCTGCTTACAGCACCACGTGCCCTGCATATCCTAGACAAAGCAGGCAGGAGCTGCCATCCTTGGGATAAAGCAAGTGGGGAGGACTGTAACCTGGGAGCCAGTTGGTCAGAGACAGGCATGAGCTGGGATCTAGTTAAATGTTATGATCCCAGCCTAGAGATCACTTGCAGAGGAATGTTAACCCCCTGGATAGTGTTGCCTGTGTCTCCCTATTCTTTCTCTACAAGCCACATGACATTACCTATAGACATTTTTAATACTATTTTTATGATTGTATATTACACCAAACATAGCGAGTATTCTCACTTAAGAAAAATAACTTGTATATGTATGCAGGTGTCCACAGAGGCCAGAAGTGGACTTGAGATTTATGGAGCCTGGTGTGGGTGCTGGGCCTCTACTAAAGCTCAAGCAGGAAGCGCTCTCAACTGTTGAGCCGTCTCTCCAGCCTCCTCTCCCCGCTCCTTCATGGGAGAAGCCATCAGTGATGAGCTTGTATTGGCCTGACAGTTGTTTCCTTTTTTGGAGGAGAATAGAACCCAGGGCCTTGTACATGTGAAGCAAGTGTTCTACCACTGAGTAGTACCAAACTTTTTAGTAGTTTTTATTTTTGAGACAGGGTCTACCTAAATTACCCAGGCTGGCCTTGAACTTTTGATCCTCCTGCCTTGGCTCCCAATTATCTGGGATGACAGGATTGCACCTGAGATATATTCCCTGCTCAGTTTAGCCAAAGTTACTTTGTGAACAGCCCCATGCCCCACAGTGCCACTTCCTTATTTTCCACTAGTCACCCACCGTGGCCTGGCTGTCTTATCTCAACTGCTGGTCTCAGACTGGGAATATCCTTGGAAACTTGCCAGCATGCAGACAGGTTTTGGCAGGAATCCCACACTACCAGCCCCACTTACCCCTGGGCTCCTCCAGGAGGGGTACATGGGATCCATGGGATCACTCGGTCTTCCTAGGACGGCTTTGTTAAAAACAAAGCCAGGTTTGTTTTGTAGAAACTCTGGCTTGAAAACAAAAGTGCCTTTTGCTGCTTAATTTAAAGAGTGTGTAGCGGGAAGCATCTGCATGCTTCCATTTCCTGACCTTTCCTGGGCACTCTTCTCCAGTCCTCCCATATCCAGATCCAATGTGTCCCTGTGTCCACTGCAACAGTGGGGCACTCTGCGTGCTGGGCAGCCACAAGCCAGAACACATAGAAGGTGTCCAGGCTAAATTACACAAAGCACTTTAACCAAATCAAGCTGGAGTGGTTAAGTCATTCTCCACACAGGAGCCCTGCCTGGAGTGAGTGATTCATAGGGATTAGAGTTAAGGACAAAGGAGGATTTTCCAGGATCCAGAGTGATAAGGTGACAAATACTGTTAGTCTACCACAGGAGCTTGGCATCTGTGCCTCTAGTAAGCATACTTGAAGAGCTGTAGGAAGTGTGCTGGCTGAGGGGAGGGGCATGGGCCCAGGGTCCAAGCCACAATTCTGCATCCAAACAAGCAGGTGGCACTGGCTTGTGCTGAGCTGAAGAGAGTGGTGTGTGCCCATACCAGGACTCCCCTGTCACTGAGAAGAAAGCGTTGTCAATTACCTTCAGGTATTTACTTATTCTGTAAAGATATGTGTACATGTTTTGTACAGAGCCCTGGATGAAATAAACACCCTTATGTGGTTCCTAATCACTTGTCCTTGTACCTCTACTGCTGCCTGGTAATGGACCTGGGCCCAGTTGGGGCCTGGGCCTGTGGTCTGTAGACTAGACTTGTCAGTCTGGACTGTCAGCACACAGCCTTTCCAGTTTTTGTTTCATATACAGGCGTAATCAGTTAAGGGTAAAAGTCCTGGTTCTAGCAAGGGCTAGGCAAGCTACTTCCTATCTTGATACCCAACTTAGACCAGAGAAACAGTTTAATTAGCACATGGAACAAAGGTCCAGTGACCTCAAGTCACCTCTGGGGCATTGGTGTGAGAAAGAATTGGGAAAAGATGTCAATGCCACAGTTCTGTTGAGGGTATGACTTGGCCACTAACTCAAGTCCAGGACAGTCTGGGCCTTCCCACTACCACCTGAAAGGGTCAGTGCCACCTCCTCAGTGATAACTTCTGGGAGGTGCAGCCTGCTATCCATGGGCAGTGCTCTCATTCTTGGAGGGACAGGTCTTCAAGGCTTATTTAGGACATGGTTATGACAAGGGCCTCTTGGGATGAGCTAGGTTAGGTGAGCAGACACTCATGTAACATGCCTAAGCAGAGACAAGCAGGAGACTGACCCAAAATCAAGGCTGAAATTCCAGGCTTCCAATCTTTAATCCCTTTGTGGGCACGAGTAAGGATTTTTGGCAAAAGTGTTTTGATGTTTTTAAATATTTTGTTTTCAATTATGTGTGCATATGATTGCAGGTGTCCTCAGAGGCCAGAAGGTATTACCAGCCGGAATGACAGTGACTGTAAGCCACCTGACACAGGTGCTGGAAACTGAACTTGGGTCCTCTTGGAAGAGCAGTACATGCTCTCTGCATGTTTTCTAAGTACCAGTCATACAGGAAGCATGGCCTTATACTGCAGCTGCTGTGGGCACCATCACAGCTGGGTGACAGGTGCAGGATGTGCTCTGGCCTTTATTTTTTGCTTTGCAGGCCTTTAACTCAGAAGGGCAGTGCTTGGATACAGAACATAACAGCCTGTTGTGGAAGGGACACTCCAGTGTCTGTTTACTGAGGAACATCTGAGAGTTGCCTCACTCAGCATCTAGCCTAGCTGTTCTCAATCTGTGAGTTGTGACCCCTTCAGCAAACCTCTATCTGCAAAATAGTTACATTATGATTCATAACTAGTGAAATTACAGTTCTGAAGTAGCAATTAAAATAACTTTGAGGGTTTCCACAACATAGGAACTGTATTAAATGGTCAAAGCATTAGGAAGGCTGAGAACCACTGGTCTATCCTCTAAGCTGTCCCACTGAGCAGTAAAAGTACACAGTAGCTCGGTCCCTGCTTTTCTACCTCTGCCTGCAAAAGAGCCAGCCAAGAGTGTGGAGTCAAGTGCCAGGTAGAGGCATTCTTTGTTGATCCTTGCTCTACCTCAATAGGCCGCCACCCTGGGATGTCCTCTGATAAGGTCAACTGCAAGCCTCAAAGAGTTAATAGGGACAGGGCCCAGCCTCTGGTATCTTATAGCAGATGGCTAAAGAGCAGTCGAGTAGCAGATGACCTAAGTCAGCCTCAGACTTCAGGACTGAACACAAAGGATAAGTGGGATTGGTAATTGGTTAATGAAGGAAGGGCACATGTAAAACGACTGGTACATGCCTGTAATCCAACATTCTGGAGGCCAAGGCAGAAAAAAGATTGCTATGAGTTCAAGGACAACCTAGGCTACATAGACCTATCTCCAAATCAAATCCTCATTCTCTGGCTTCCTGTTTTGCTCCCACTCAAAGCTCTAGGTCCATCCAGGGCTCCACATTCCAGCAGCTGGAAAACATTCACCCTGGAAAAGCTACATGCCCTAGCAGCTAGGGTGAGACTTTGACCACAAGTGCTATGCTTACCATTAAAGGATCATATTGTGGAAAGACAGCAACACTCAACTCTCAGAAGGGACTGGCTGGGTCACAGAGTGGAGGGAGAGTACTAGAACAGCAAGGCCTTACCTCTTGCTTGGCTGTTAAAGCGAATGGACCACCTCCCTAATGAGTTGCAGCAGTTCCTGAAACTGCTCTGCTCCTCATCTTACATGCCCAGAGAATAGCCAAGCCTTTCCTCCAGTCTCTAGCTGCTGCCATGGCCTCCCTTCCCAGCATCCCTCCAGCCTTCAACCCCTTCCCTGTAAATTTCACCAGTCTGCGCTAATATTGGCCCTAGCAATGCTTGTCCCAGGAATTAGGCATGGTGGTGCCAGAGCTGAGCTAGCCTGATTTTCCCCAACTGCCAGAGCCAACAGATCCCCTCTAGGTGCTATTCTAAGCTCTCCAGAGCTCACCATCCTGCCTGGAAAGCATTTAACCTAGGACGTTTGCTCCCCCAAGCACAACACACCTCCCTTCTTGGAAAACAACTTTAATTCACTTATTCAAAGGGGGATGCAGAGCTGACCCCATGGGCTTTGCTTTCTGACCTACCAGCGCTGGGTCCACCACAGCCCTGAGAGGTGCCAGGCCCTCAACAGCAACAGCAGCAAAAGTGCCCAGAAAGGCAGCAAGGCAGAGCATGAGGATGAGGTCCTCGGGGAGCATGCTGAAGGGGAACAATCACTCGGAGGCTCAGAGCACTAGTCAGCCAGGCCTTAGGTCAAGGCTGTGTTTAACTAAGGCTGGTGGCTAGTAAGGGTAGGATATATAGCTCAGGGCCATAAGGTCTGGTCAGCAACCCCGTGGAGCAACATTGGCAGTGGGATTGACATGGCACCAGCTCAGCTGGGGCTCCTGTAATACAGCAAGCAGGCTGGCAGCACAACTCAGGGCCTTCTCCCTGGCCAAGCTTAAAGGTACAGTGGCCAAACCAGAGTTAAACCCCCTGGCCTAGTCCTGCTGTTTAGCTGCTACAGATGTGGGTCTGAGTCAATGTTGAGGGCCACCATCTTCAACTCAGTGGCAGTTCTGACAGCTAGGATGGCAAGGAATCCCATTGACCCGGCAGCGGCAGCCCCCACTGGTGTCACCTGGGCCCTAAAGGATAGAGAAAAGATGGTATCAGGGTGGTAAAAACAGGCTGTCCCCAAGTTACTCCATCAGTCCAAGGCAGAGTTCATTTGAAGGTGGAGAGTGACTGCCAAAAGTCCTCCTGCAAAGAACAGCCTCAGCAACCTGAAGGAGGCAACCATGGAAGCCTTTCAACTCCATCTTCAACTCCTCCAGCACCCTCAACTCCATGGTCTTCTCTCTGGGCTGCATATGGAAGGGGCTGCAGCTGCAGGTGGCTCAGCACCTGGGCAGAGGGAAGCAGTACATTTCCCTCTGTACCACCTATCTCTAAGTCCACCAGTAGTGATGCCAGCTCTTGACTCCAGCAACCCACCTCTAATACAGGGCACTCAATCTGGAATAGGCACCCACCGAGTACTTCTCTTGTACTTGATTTAGGCCCTGACACTGTCTCCATTTTGTGGAGGAGTCTGAAACTGAGAGATGGCAAGTATGTGCCAGAGGGAGGGACTTGCAATCCCCCTCCCAACTCCAGATTGACCCTGACGTGCTGTCCCCGAAAGCAGAGCAGCAGGTAAGCCTTGCTGCACACACCAGGTCTGAAGCCAGGTGAGCCCTCTACATGAGCATAGCCGCAGGCAAGAAGCAAAAGCCTGGGGTGGGCAGACTCCAGGACTATTTACTGTGGCCTTTTGATAACTTAAAAGACACTTTTAAGATGTAAAAATTCTTAACCCTCAAGCCCAGCAAGGTGACACGTGCTATTATCCCCAGCACTCAGAAGGCTGAAGAAGGAGGATTGCCACAAATTCCAAGACAGCCCAGGCTACAGAGTAAAAAACAGTCTAAGGAATAAAAGAAAATCTGCTGGAAAAAAGGGCAGTGGTGGCGCACGCCTTTAATCCCAGCACTCAGGAGGCAGAGACAGGTGATCTCTGTGAGTTGGAGGCCAGCCTGGTCCACAGAGTGAGTTCCAGGACAGCCAGGGCTACACAGAGAAACCCTGTCTTGAAAAAAAACAACAAAAAAAAAAAAAAAGAAAAAGAAAATGATCCCCTGAGCTGATGAGATAGCTCAACAATGAAAGGTCTTGTCACACAAGACCGCTGACACAAAAAGATGGAAGGAGAGGATTAACATTAACTCCACTCAGCTATCCTCTGACCTCCACATGAACACCATAGCAGATATCTCTCTCTCTCTCTCTCTCTCTCTCTCTCTCTCTCTCTCTCTCTCTCTCTCTCTCTCTCTCTCTCTCTCTCTCTCCCTCCCTCCCTCCCGCCCTCCCTCTCTTCCCTCCCTCCCCCCCATACATATACACAGATAATAAAACATAAATTAGGCCAGACTTGGTGGCACACACATTTAATCCTAGCACTTGGGAGGCAGAGGCAGTGTGATCTCTTAAGTCAGAGGACAGCTGGGTCTACATAGTAAGTTTCCAGGTCAGCCAGGGCTACATAATGAAACCCTGCCTCAAAATTAACTAATAAAGTAAAAATAACAATCCTTCTCCTTAAGGTGTACATGGTAGCTAGACTCAGTTGATGGCTGAAGTTTTGAGCCCCATTCCAGAACTACACCACCCTCAACTCTTCAGTACCCTGAAGACTCACCCCAGGGCCCCAGCGTGGACCCTTGGTGACCCAGCAGATCTCAGTGTGGCAGACAGTGCAGCGGATCCAGTCACAGCCGTCCTTCTTCTGGACCACTATCTGGCACTGCGGGCAGTGCATGGCCTCGCCCTGCTGCAGCATCACCTGAGAAAGGTAGCTTCTGAAGCCCTGGGCTTGCCCTCTGTGGTGTACTTTCCCTCAGAGCCTGACATGGCTGCTGAGGGCTCCCCAACCCAGACTCTTCCTGTAGCTCCACACCTGACACCCTATTGGAAGACACACCTTGAAATGGGGGTGCAACCAGAAGGGAGACTGGGTAAGCTTCCAAAAGCATGTGAACTTAGTGGGTCCCAAGAAGCCATAAGCCCCCAGGCCCTTGCTAAGACCCTGCCTTACCCTCAGCATCTCCGTTGTCTGTCGGGCAGCCACATCATTCTGAGCCCGAAGGGCCAAGTCATCCTGATATTCCCTGCAATTCATGTGCTCATGGATGGCCTGCAAGGCAAGGGGGTCTGAGTTAGACATTTCCCCAAAGGCTTAAGCTGTGAGGAGCAGAAGAGGCCCCTCACTGGCACTGAGTGCCTATGAGGTCACCAGTGAAAGCCCTCACTAAGGAAACGACCCGTTTTACAGAAGCCATCTTATAGAAGATGGGGTTCAGGGAGGTGCAGCCAGGGCCATCAATAGGGACCTACTATAAATCCTATTTGCTTTAGGTGCTGATGGGCACTGTAACCCTAAAACGGCTCTCCCCTATGATGGGCTGCAGCCTCTGCAGTTGTCATAGCCAATCACAGCAAGCCCCAGCTAGATGAAGGCAGTGAGACCACATGGGCCCCATCCCACCTTGCAGAGCAGACAGTTGACCCGGGAGCACACAGGACAGGTGAACTCGTTGACATCATCCTCAAAGAAGCACCAACCCCTGCAGTCGGGTGTCTTGCAGTGGTAGCTCAAGGTGCTGCGGTTCTCTGCTATAGACACACCCAGGTCCAGGAAGCGTTGGTAGTCCTCGGGGGACAGGAGCTGTACACACATGCATTTGTTGTTGGAGTTCAGAGCACCCAGCAGATGCCCCTCTCCTATCAAACGTTCCCAGGAAACCCAGTACCTCAGCCCACTCCGGAGCCTTTGTTTGTTTTGGGGGATAGGGTTTCAATTCCTGGTGTCTCTACTTCCCAAGAGCTGGCATTACATGAGCTATATGGCTCAAGCTCTGTTCTTCAGAGTCCTCCATTTAGACAGTCATGACACAAAGCCTATTACCCCAGCACCTGGGAGGCTGTGTAGGCAGGGAGTTGGAGTCCATGACAGTGGAGGGTCATGATGGCTACAGAGCTAAGGGTCAGTGGGTAATGCTTCAGAACTGTGTACCTAAGGACTTTAATTGAGGACAAACAGCCAACAGAGCCAATTTTATGAGAAAAAAAATGACACATGTGATAGGGGACAAAAAGGTTAAATTCCTATCCTGGAACAAATACAGTGGCACAAGCCATTAAATCCCAGTACTTTGAAGGCTAAGGCAGAAGGATCACTGAGAATTCAAGGCCATCCTGTACCACATAGCAAGACCTGGTCTTGCTGGGCGTTGGTGGCGCACGCCTTTAATCCCAGCACTCGGGAGGCAGAGGCAGGTGGATCTCTGTGAGTTCGAGGCCAAGCCTGGTCTACAAAGCGAGTTCCAGGACAGCTTCCAAGACAATACAAAGAAACCCTGTCTCAAAAAAAAAAAAAAAAAAAAAAAAAAAAAAAAAGACCTGGTCTCAAAGACAAATCTGGATTCAGGTACACTGCACTCTGAAAATCATGTGGCTACATCCCAGACTTGACCATGTTCCGGTGCCCTCTACGCCCCATAAGTCTGCTTCACAAGAAACAGTCCCCAAGCAGTGTTAGCTGTACTTCCTAGCAGGGAAGGCTAAACTGCAGAGAGCAGAATCGTGCCTTGAAGAAGCAGTGGCAAACACGCGAGTCAGTAAGGGGCAGTCAGGCCTTTGTTCTGCATCTGAGCTGGGCGGTAATAAAAGTGACTTGTCAAAACGCACATACCTGCATACCTGCAAGGCTGTATTCTGTCATGCGTGAATTTCAGCGAATGATGTCTACTCAAAAATACTGCCTGGGGCCAAAGAAATAGCACAAACCTGCCAACCTGAGTTTGATATCTGAGATCCATGTGGTTGTAAAGACAAATTGATTCTGACCAGCTGTCCTCTGAGCTTCATACACATGCTGTGTGTTGCACACTCATTTAGTTACACAAATAAACGTAACTAAAAGTGTGTGTGTGTGTGTGTGTGTGTGTGAGAGAGAGAGAGGGGGGCAGAGAGAGAGAGCTCCTTGGGCTTGAGAAACATTTGGTAAAGTTTTGGGGGACTTCAGGAGAAACATGGTCAGAGGGGGCAGGAGTGAGGGAAAGGAAGATGCATCTGTGCATGCCTGGGGTCACCCATCTGGACGCTGGCCATTATGAGCCTGCTTTCCTGTCTATGGTCAAACCGAGGAGCTGTGCTTGCTAGGCAAGTGCTCAACCCACTAGCCCTTAATTTTGTAAGACAGCCTTGCATAGCTAAGACTGGCCTGAAGCTCTTTGTCCTGCTGTCTCAGCAGTGCTGGGCTAACAGGGTGAACTGTAATGTCAATTATGCTCCCATTTTGGCCCTTGAAGGGCCATATTTCCACAGAATTTCAGACCATGGTTCATGTCGGTCCCATAGGGAGTATGGGCCTGAGCATGTCATTTGCAATGTTTAACAGAATTACAACAAAGCAGTCTCTACTCAATTAGAGTTGCGCTTGGAACACTGAAACCTCACTAACCACTGCCAGGGGACAGGCCTGGATAGCCTTCTTATGGAGGGTCTGAAGTAGTTATCCCAGGCAAGGCCATCACGAACCATCTCATACTCACCACAGCAGACAAGCCAGGAGCCAAACCTAAAGCACAGAAACCCCAGCCCCACCCATGTGGAAATACTACTTTGCAATTCACAAACCATAATGTTCTAAGGCACCAGGTCTGGAGTGACTGGTTACAAGGCAAAAGCAGCTGACACAGCAGCTGTACAAGCATGAACACACTAGCAGACGCCACCCTGGGTGCTGGCTGAGAGCAGAGCAGAGGCTGGGTGTCTGAGGTTTCATCTATTCCCTCCAGTGCTGCCCTGCTTGGGCCCCAGGCACTCTTTGGAAATGTCTGCTGGGGGATGCAGGTGCTGTTAACTCAGGGCCAGCCCCCAGAACTCAAAATTCCTTCCCTCCCATGGTCTTACCGCCCGGATCTCCCTCTCCAGCAGCTTGCCAGGGCACGAGTAGGTGCTGTCAATGAAGGGGCAGGATACCTCCGCCTCCTGGCTGTTTCGGATGGTGCCCTGCAGGCACTCCCTGGAGAGGGGAGGGTGGTGGTTAGGCTCATTTCTACCTCCACAGGGTCTCTAGCCCTCAGATGGCAGGGTCTGACCCCAGGGCTCGCTCTTCCCGTTCCTCTCTTCAACACGTGCCCAAGGCCCCACTTCTGTCCACCATCCCTGCCACTCTCTGGTCCAGGGCACTGCATCCCTGCCCAGTGACTGCAGTAGCCACCTCCTTGGTCCCTGTCTCTCTTGCTGGTGCAAATGCCCACTCTGAGCACTGCAGTAGTACCACCCAAAGAGGACCAGGGCTGTTCTGCTTTTGTCACCGCACAGGCACAACTATCCCACCCCACCATCCCTCTGTTCCCTGATCTTTTCAGACAGACAACTTTCCAGCCTCTGCTCCAGCACGCTCTTCCTTAGGGGCTGCCAGCCCTGACCCCCGTAACCCAAGCAAGCCACACAACCTAGTTACTTGGCATGCAGCATTGTATACATTAACGTAGACTCCCCACTAGAAGGGAGCACTCCACCAGGGTCCACTATGTGAATGAACATACTTTTCCCAGCTCAAGGGGAGAAGGGCTGCACAGGAGACCCAAGAGAAATGCACACACTAAGGACGGATTGCTGTGCTGTCAGAGCTTGGCCATAATGTCTTTCATATGCCCAGGCAGTAACAGGTAGTGAGGAAGGACAGTGGCTCTGGAGTCAGAAGGCTTGTCTCATTTCTGAGCTTCTTGCAAGTTGTATAGCCTTTACAACATGGATGCCTGGATTCTGTCTACCATTCCTTTTTCTTTGGATTTTTGAGACAAAGTCTCATATAGCCCTGACTGGCACTGAACTCACTACACAGCCAAAGCTAGTCTTGAACATCTTATCCTCTTGCCTCTACTTCCCAAGTACTGGTATTCCAGGCATGAGCCACAACACCTCTTGCATAAATGGTGTTTTGTGGGACTCCAATGAGCTAGAGAACAAGACTGCACACTTGACTGTGGCTTTGATAAGCACTGTTACTAGTGGGAGTTGGGCCGCACCTGCAGAAGGTGTGCAGACACTCACGCAGCACCACGGCCTCGCCGGGCGCCAGCGCTGAGTAGCACACAGGGCACTCAGCGGGCTCGGTGTTCAGCACCAGGCTCCTCTGCTCCAGCTGCACGTGCTGCAGGTAGTTCCCCTCCTGCTGCTGCTGCTTCCGCTGGGCACACGGGCAGGGCAGGGCCACCAGGTGGGTCAGGGTCTCAGTTGTTCAGATAGGAAGTGGGACAAGGCTGGGGTAGTATGGGGGGCAGCAAGGCAGTAGTGGGCTGGAAATATGGGCAGGCGAAGACAGCCAGGGAGGGGCTACAGCACAGTAAGAAGCTAGGTGAGGGGTCCAGGGCGATAGAGAAAGAAAGGCTCAGGGTACACGAGGGAGTGGAGGGTCCAAGCTCGAGGCAGAGCCAAGCTGCAGATAAGGCTTGGCTGGGCATGGGGTCATGGTCAAGGCTGGTTAGGCTGTGCTGAGTCTACGGGGAATGCTGGTGGGGTAGGAGCAGGCTCTTGGAGTGGGGAGCACCAGAGTTGGGTATCTGTGGGATCAGTGTTTTTGGTGGGAACTGACTACTCTAGGGAAATGAGAGGACAGACTCACTCCCAGGGAGCACAGGAAGGCAGTCCATGAGAGAGGAAGGGGGAAGAGGAGGAATAGCAGGAGCCAAGATGGAGTTACAGGCCAGGGGCTGAGGTCTGGGCTGAGGTGTAGAGTAGCATAGCACAGCTAGGGTAGGGATGCTTGTAGACATGGGAGGTGGGTGTCAAAGTGAGGGTGCAGAACAAGTGAGGAGCCTGGCTGTGCATCATACCCGGAAGTGAGTCTCAGCCACAGGCCTGGCTCAGAGCGGCAGCTCGCAGTCAAGAGCAAGGCTATGTTAGCAGTATGCTCATGAAGGGAGCGGAAGTACAGTAGCGGGGCCCAGCAGTAAGCAGGTGGTTCCCTTGCTGGCTGGGGCCTTTCTAACCAGCCTGCAGGCCTCTGTCCCTGGACCTGTATGCCCACCTGCTGGTACTGGCGCAGCGCCTCCTCCTCACCGGCCAGGCGTGCTCGCTCTTCCTCATCGGGCTGGTACGAGGCAGGTATCTGGTAGGTCTCTGGCCTTGCACGACAGCACATCTCACAGCCAGGCCGTGTGGGTTTGTTGATGAAAGTGCAGCCAGGGCACTGCCAGCCCACCTGGATGCAGAGGGGGTGTGAGCTCGGCTGGGTTGAACAGAGAAGACAGGGCACACACGAAGTAAGGCACTTACCGGTGGCGACTCTGGTGCTGCTTCTGGCTGCCCCGGCTCCTGGTGGGCCCTGGGCTTGGGAAGGACAGGCTCCAGGGGGCCCCGTGGCTGCAGGGTAAGGTCCTTGAAGCCCAAATCTGCAGAAAGAGTGTGTGTGGATTTAGGCTGCCCAGGTATCCACATGCTGCACCATCCCAGCACACCCCACTTTGAGGCATCCCCTGACCCTGCAGTGTTTCTAGCCTCTGCCTAAAGGTGGACATCCAGGATACCCCAAGGCCATGGCTTTACCTCAACCATAACTGTACCTTCATGACCCCTATCTGTTTTGAGAGGAGGAGATGCCTAACCCTGACTCCATCATGCTGAAATGTTCACCAAGAAAAAGGCCTGACCATCTTCAGTCAGGAGGGTAACCAGGGACCCAAGAGGGTCAGGGCTGGGAGGAACCGACATATGACAGCTGAACGCTATGTCTTTTGCCACCATGGACAATGGCTGGGTGTCTGACAAAACCCAAATGCGAGTGGCTGCGCTGTCTCAGTGTCAAGCCACACAGGCTGCAGTGGGCAAAGGTGCTTGCCACCAGGCTGATGACCTGAGTGTAAGGCCTTGGCCACACAGTGGAAAGACGCTGACTCCCAAAGCTGTCCTCTTTCCTCCACATGTGCGCATGTGTACAGCTACACACATAAATAAATGTAACTTGTAAATTACTATGCTGGGGGTTGTTTGTTTTTTTAAGACAGGATTTCTCATATAGTTTTGGCTGTTCTGGAACTCACTCTGTAGACCAGGTTAGCCTCTCTGCCTCTCAAGTGCTGGGATTAAAGGATGCAATTTAAAAATTAAAAAACCTGGGCAGTGGTAGTGCACGCCTTTAGTCCCAGCACTTGGGAGGGTTAGAGTTTCAGGACACCCAGGACTAAACAAAGAAACCCTGTCTCAAAAGAAAAAAAAAACTGTACTACATAGAAGTTTATTTCCTGCACCAGAGAGTTGTTCAGAAAAAAAATGGCCTTTAAAAAAAAAAGATTTATTTATTATGAATACAACATCTGCCTCCATGTATGTCTGCAGGCCAGAAAAGGGCACCAGATCTCATCATGGATGGTTGTGAGCCACCATGTGGTTGCTGGGAATTGAACTCAGGACCTCTGGAAGAGCAGTCAGTGTTCTTAATCTCTGAGCCATCTCTCCAGCACCTGAAAAATGGCCTTTCTCTTTTTAAAAAACTGCTCAAGTATTCAGGGGAAGAAGATCTCATTCCCTAAGATTCTGCAATCAGGGTAAAGCTAAAGGAAGAAGATGTTTCTCTGTACAACTGTGAACCTTTCTACAGGTCTGAAATACTGCAGCAAAAGCAACCTTACTAAATCCTAGTTACGTTACCAACAAACAAATAGAGACACTGAGAGACAGAGACAGAATGAGCATGCGCAAGGTCATATAGCTAGCAAACGCCAGGCCAGGACTAAACAGTCTCTCTCCTCGTGCCAGACCTGCTCAAGAGTTCTTCAAAAACCTCCCTCCCCCGTCTGTCCTTCCATGTACAGGGCCCTTCAGTACATCCCTGACAGAGAGACCTTCACCTTCCAACATCCGAAGCTGGCGCTGCCGCTGCAGCTCCTGAGGGTTGAGTGAGGTGTTGCAGGCAGACAGCAGGTAGAGGTAGGCGCTGTCTCCATTCTGTCGAATACCATGCGAATGCAGGGTCTCCTGGTCTCGTGCCAGTCTCTGTCCAACCACCCATTGCTGCAGGCTGGGTGGAAAGCCATAATCTAGAAATACCTGGGGAAGAGGGACAGTTATAGTTTGAAAGTAAAATATCTACTGCCACACTCACATTGAACACTTGATTCAAGCCGGGAGTGATGTTTATTGAAACTCTGGAAGTCCTGGCTGACGTAGGTGGACCACTGGAGGCTGGCTTTGAGGGCTAGAGCCTACCCTGCTTTCACCCTCCTTCTTTGCTCCCTGGTCATATGAAAAGCCACACTGAGGCCAGGCATGGTGGCAGGTGCACACCTTTGATCCCAGCACTCAGGAGGCAGGGGCACACGGATCTCTGTAAGTTTGAGACCAGCCTGGTCTGCAAAGTGAGTTCCAAACCACCCAAGATTACAGATTCAAACCCTCTATTTACAAAAGGAGACAGGAGGGCTGGAGGGATGGCTAATGGTTAAGAAAATGTGTCGCTCTTACAGAGGACCTGGCTCAATTAACAGCACTCACATGGTGGCTCATAATCATCCATAACCCCAGTTCCACAGGACCCAACAGGCACACACATGATACAATACACCCATCAGGCAAACATTCACACACAAAGTAAAATAAATAGCTCTAGGCCGGGCGTTGGTGGCGCACGCCTTTAATCCCAGCACTCGGGAGGCAGAGGCAGGAGGATCTCTGTGAGTTCCAGACCAAGAGCTAGTTCCAGGACAGCCTCCAAAGCCACAGAGAAACCCTGTCTCAAAAAAAAAAAAAAAAAAAAAAAAAAGCTCTAAAAAAGTTTAAAGGAGAGCAGAAGAAAGGAAGTCACAGTTGTAACCTCCTGTCCCCTCGATGGAGTCTCTCAAGCACCACCCCTTCCCATGATGCACTGTGTCCTCTGAACTGTGAGCCAAAACAAACCTCCCCTCAAGTTGTTTCTAGCAGGTGTTTGACCAGAAACAGAAAACATAGGATGGGAGGGACACAGAGAGGATGGGAAGAGCAGAGAGGAAACACAAGCCCGAGAGGAGCCCACCTGCCTCCCCCCTCACTCACCATGTCCTTGAGGGAGGCCACTGTCATATCAGGACGCACTGTAAGCCAAATGGTGACGGTGTGCATGTAGGCATCCTCCACGCTCACACACAGTCTGTGGGAGAGAAGGGTAGGCACGGACTTGGGCTACCAGCATGGGAATGTTCATGCCTGCACATGTGCAGGTGCTATGTGCTCCTTAGTTTTTTGTCAACGTATACAAGTTAGAAGAGAAGGCATTAATTGAAAAAAAGCCTCCATCAAACTGATCTATAAGCAAGCCTTTGAGGTATTTTCTTTCCTTTTTAAAAATTAATTTTAAAGACTTATTTCATGTGTATGAATGTCTGCCATCGTGTATATATGACATGTGTATGAGGGTTTGCCTGTATGTACATATGCTTATCACTTGTGTGCCTGGTATCTGTGCAAGTCAGAAGAGGATGTCAGATCCCCTGGAACTAGAGTTACAAAGAGTAGTGAGCCACCATGTGGGTGCTGAGAACCAAGCCTAGCTCTTCCCCAAGAACAGCCTCTTAACTGCTGAGACAACTCTCCAGCCCGACTGTGGGCAGTGCAGTGCCACCTCTGGGAGGTGCCATCTCTGGGCAGGTGGTCCTTGGTTGTATTAAGAAGCAATCCGAGCAACAGGGAGCAAGCCAGTAAGCAGCTCTCCTCCATGGTCTCTGCTTCAGGACCTGCCTCCAGGATCCTGACTTCCTGATCTTACTTCCCTCAGTGATGGACTACATATACCTGGGATGTATAAACCAGAATCCCCCGTTCTTCCCCAATTGCTTTTGGTCAATGTTTATCACATCCATAGAAAGATAACCAGAACAACCTGCAGGGACAGCCTTCCCGGGCAGTCTCTCTGGATCCCCAACCTCCATAAGTGTCCCAGTCCTTTATTTTTATTTTGAGACAGGCTCTGTAAATTGCCAAGGCAAGCCTTGAACTTACCACCTCTCTGTTTCAGTTCCCAAGAAGCTGTCACCAAGCCTGGTAAAAATTTTTTGTGGAGGAAAGGAAGATTCTTCTGGTTTGGTTTCTTTTGTTTTTGTTTTAAACAGGGTCCCACATAGATCAGGCTGGCCTTAAACTCCCGATGAAGCTGACAATGCCCCTGACCTCCTGATCCTCCCCCTTCCCTCACTCAGTGTTGGGATTACAGTCTGCCCTGGTTCCTCTCTTCTGCCAAATGAGCAGCATCTGGTGTTGAAGACACCCCTGGATACTAGTGGCACTAAATCGTTTAACCCACTTAATACTTTCCGTCAGCCTGAGGCAGTCCCTGCCACATCCTTTTCCAGACAGAAACACACTGTGGCAGCCGTGCTGCAGGAGCCATAGCCGTCATGGTGACTTAAATCCAAACTGCATCACTCCAAATGATGTCTGAACTAGTGCCTCACATACCCCAGGGAATCACTCCACCATGGAGGCCACATGTTCCTTGTGTAGTCCTGGCTGTCCTGGAACTTGTTCTGTAGACCAGGTTAGCCTCCTAAGTGTTAGGATTAAAGACATGCACCACCACCACCCAGCTCAGACCAGATTCTTTTTTTTTTTAATATTTTTTATTTATTTATTGTGTATACAGTCTAATGTCTGCATGCCAGCAGAGGGCACCAGATCTCATTCAAGGTGGTTGTGAGCCATCATGTGGTTGCTGGGAATTGAACTCAGGACCTCTGGAAGAACGGTCAGTGCTCTTAACCACTGAGTCGTCTCTCCAGCCCCCAGACCAGATTCTTAAACTTCAAATTATTCTAGGAATTTGAAAACATAAAAGTACACATGCTGCCAGTTGTGGCTGCGGGTGTGGTGGCGCATGCCTCTAATGCCAGGCCTCAGGAGGCAGAGGCAGAACAGCCAGGGCTACACAGAGAAACTCTATCTTGAAAAACAAAAACAAACAGAGGTATACATGCTTTAAACTGCAATATCCATTGCACAGTGAACCATTCGATAACTACAATACTATGAATCCCATGCAGCAGCTCTCAATCTGTGGGTCAGGACCCCTTGGGGGATAGGGCCACCCAAGACCATAAGAAAACACAGATATTTACATTGATTCATAACAGTAGCAAAATTAGTTATAAAGTAGCAACAAAAATAATTTTATGGTTGGAGGTCACTACATAACACTACTGTATTAAAGGGTCAGAGCATTAAGAAGGTTGAGAACCACAGCTCTAGGGGCAAGACAGGTTCAGAACCAAAGAGGTGTAAATTATGGAAGGCTTGTAGTAACAAAATCTAAAAGTTACTATCTTACCAGGTCTGGTACTATACACCTGTAAGGCTAAGACTCTGAAGACAAAACTGTCTTGAGTTGAAGGCTAGCCTGGGCTACACAGTGATTTATAGGCTAACTTGGACTACAGAGTAAGACTTGGTTTCTAAAACAAAAAGTAAATTTAAAAAATGAAAGTAGCCGGGCGGTAGTGGCGCACACCTTTAATCCCAGCACTCGGGAGGCAGAGGCAGGCGGATCTCTGTGAGTTCAAGGCCAGGCTTGACCGACAGCCTCCAAAACAATACAAAGAAACCTTGTCTCGTAAAACCAAAAAAAAAAAAAAAAAAGAAAGTAAAGATTGGAGAGATGACTTGGTAGATAAACACCCTTGCTGTGCAAGCCTGCTGACCCGAGTTTACCTCCAGATCCAACGGTGGGAAAGAGAGAGCTGTCTCCTGAAAGTTCTCTGGCTCCTACACATCTAAGACAATGAACCCTGTGCGGGCTTTGGCAGCACAGACACTAAAATTGGAATGGTACAGGGAAGATCTACATGATCCTGGGGCAAGGATGACACCTATTGTGCAAGGTTTCCTTAAAAAAGAAAACAATGAGCCCGCCAACACACCCCCACCAGCACAGGAAGCAGTCTACCCCATAGCTCAGCCTCCTATGTGGAAACCTGCCAGTGAGGTCCTGGGTTTGATCCCAGCACTGCAGGGGAGATCATCGGAAAGGAGGCTCGGGAGGCCTCCATCCCCTTTAATGGGGGTCACACTCACCTGATGTCCTGTGCTGGGGACACCTCAGGCTTTACTTGCACTCTGAGGGGCACCCTCTGCTCTGCCAGCCAGGTGGCATACTTCACAGCGGCCTGTTCATCTCCACCGGCCACTGCCCGGGCGAGGCGTAGGGCCATCTCCTCTGCTGAAAATCAGCACAGAAAGCAGGTTAGCACCAGTTTACCTGGGGAGGTGACCCTTGACACATTCTCTGTCCTGTCTCCCTATCAAGTCATCTTCCGCCATTTTAAGTCGTTTTGGGGGGAGGAGGGAGTGCTTTTTCAGTCTTCATTCCCCTGCACCCTGGACTCATGGGGTGCCCTTTTCCCCTCACAAAGTCCCCCATACTTCCATTCGTTTATCTGACAAGCATTTCTTGAACTCCACTGTATGCCAGCTATTAGCCCAGAAAGTGAAATCTAACAGTGGTTAAGACGAATAGGTTCTTCTCCCCATAAACCTCTATTTTAAAATTTGACAAGATAATCAGGCTGTGGTCCATTCTAGCAATAATTGAGGAAGGAGGTCAGGGGGACCCTCTAGGAGGTAAGGTAAGGAGGTTAGATGTGTAGGAGCCAGAGAACTTTCAGGAGACAGCTCTCTCTCTCCCACCGTTGGATCTGGAGGTAAACGCGGGTCAGCAGGCTTGCACAGCAAGGGTGTTTATCTACCAAGTCATCTCTCCAGCCTTTACTTTCATTTTTTAACTGAGGCCTGAATGAGGGGTTGCTGGCCTTCCAGTATCCAATAAGGAAGACTGTTTGAAGAGTCCAGAGAATGGGCAAAGGTCTTGGGCAAGAAGTGGTTGGATCAGAACAGAAAAGCCAAGGACTGGAGGCATATCTCTGTGGTAGAGCACTTGCCTAGCGTGCATGAAGCCCCAGACTCAATCCCCAATAGGGGGCAGAACAGAGGAGGCAGGAGGACACGAATGCAAGCAAACGGGAGAGGTCACTAAAGGTGGCCCAGAGCCAGCCTTGGTTTTATTAGGAGGGCAGGGTTTCAGCAAACAGACAGTTAACACTATCGGTGTTTCCCCCAAATCTGGGTGGAAGGGCAAGGGATAGAGGCACATAGTGTCCCCTGCCTGCCTTACTCTGGTTAACTGAAATCTGCTTTCCTGACAACCAGAAGTTCTCCAGGTTTGGTGTTCTGTGTCCACAGAGTCTCCCCGGCACAGCCCCAGCCCAGGGCCCATTTCCACCAGCTCCAGCGGGTGCCCACCTTTCTTGGTCTTCTCGTCCATCTGGCCTGGCTGCGCCCATCCCCTCAGAAAGGGCTGCTGCTCCCGGGAAATACTACCTTCGGGATGACCTGGGAGAGGACGGGAGGACAGCAGCGAATCAGCCCTAGGCGGTCTCGCGCGTGGTCCAAGCGGTGTCCCGGGCCACACTCGGGCAGCATTACACTGCCCAGGGCCCAAGGCCCGGCATTGGGAACCGGTGGGGCCCGCGAGGGACACAGAAAGCGAAGGAGGCCCCGAGCCAAGTCCACAGTGGGCGATGGGTCGCTACGACCCAAAAGCGGCGGACAGAGGGAGCCCAGCCGGCGCGGGCGCCCAAGCGTCCGGAACCCCAGCCCCGCAGCTCGCGCTACCCGGAAGACAGAAAGGGCTGCATCCCCGGAAGAGAAAGTGAAAGTGACAGCCCCGGAAGTGCAGCAGGCCGAAAGAAAAACTGCCCCTCATCCGAGACTCTGCAGGCTCACCTTCTGGGGCGGGCGTCTAGACTGTCCCTGGCACTTACTCTCCACCACATGGTCCCGCAGACTAGGGACACTAGACCCGGGTGCTCACGATCGCCCCTTGGCAGTCCATGGACTCCAGCCAGGGCCTAGCGCTGGGAGGGGGTATCTGGAGGGCGGGGTCTGGAGGGCGAAGGGCGTGGCTTGGAGGTTCAGCTGGTGGGCTCCTCCGTGCCCCCAGTTCTCCACGCCCATTCTGTAGGAGCTGTTCTTACTGGCGCCGCGTCCACTTGTGCACAGTGTGCAGGCTCACAAAATCTCAAACACACCAGTGGGTAGCCAGGTTTCTGTCCCCGTTTTCAGTTGAGGAAACAGACGGTTTGAATGTTTATGACTTGCCCCAAGCCACACTGCTGGGGTTTGAATCCAAACGTGGCAGTCTCGAGAACTCACCTTGGCAGCCTGGAGATTTGTCTCTTGTATTCGCCTAGCAAAGGCTGGGAAATCTTTTCAGCCTCCACTTATTTTACATTTTCTCCCACTTTTCATCCCATATATTAGCAAATACAGTGGGCCCCACCTGCAGAACGGATAACAAACTCACCCTCTCCTGTGACCAGATCTCATCCTGCCAGCTCCTTGTCTGTCTGTTTTCCCTCAGATGCCCTAGGAGATCCTGTTAAAATATAGATAATGGAGTAGGGGAGACAGTCCAGTGGGTTATATGCTTGCTTGAAGTGCAAGCCTTAGGACTTGAGTTCAATACTCGGTGTCCCCTAAAAAACTGGGCATAGGCCGAGCGTTGGTGGCGCACGCCTTTAATCCCAGCACTTGGGAGGCAGATCTCTGTGAGTTCGAGGCCAGCCTGGTCTACAGAGTGAGTTCCAGGACAGCCTCCAAAGCCACAGAGAAACCCTGTCTCGAAAAAACAAAAAGAAACAAACAAACAAAAAAAAATTGGGCATAGTAGTGGGAGCTTGTAATCCCACTTCTGAAAAGGCAGACAGGAAAATCCCTGGGGTTCCCTCCCTAGCCAGCTAGGGTAGCCTAACCAGTGGAGACCCTGTCTCAACAAGATGGATGGTGTCCCCACAGGAATATGGGCAGGGGCGCGCGCGCGTGCGCGCGCGCGCACACACACACACACACACACACACACACACACACACACACACACACACACACACGGAAAACATATGTATGAACACTTTTCCATTGGCCCCTGGATTTTTGCCTGGATTTCCCATTGTCTCCCTCCGCTTGGCTCACTGCTCACCGGAGTGCTAGCTCTCGAATCCTGGAATAAATTAGTTGGCCAAGTTTGAAAGCTTCTGTTTTAGAATTTTCCATCCCCAACAGGGAAAGTTTGTAAATTTCAGCACTTGGGAGGAGGAGGCAGAATACTCTGGAGAGAGAGCAGAGGAGGAGAGAAGGGGGAAAGAAAGAAGGAAGGAAGGGAGGAAGGAAGGAAGGAGGAAAGGAAAGAATTTCCACCTAGGACCTTCTAGTAAATATTCTTGGGTTTTGACAGAAATTTTTTGTTTATACCTCTCCTAATCCTAAGATTCTAGGCACAAATATCATACTCAGATTGCTTTGTTTCTGAGATAGGGTCTTACCTGTGCAGACCTGGACAGTTTGGAATAGGCTTTGTAGACCAGGCTGGCCTCAAACTTGTGTAATTGCTAGGCCATGGTAGCGCATGTCTTTAATCCCAGCACTCTAGAGGCAGAGACAGGCAGATCTCTGTGAGTTTGAGACCAGCCTGGTCTACAGAGCGAGTTCCGGGACAGCTAGGGCTGTTACACAAGAAACCCTATCTCAAAAAAAAAATCTCGAAACACAGAAGAAAAAAGAAAAGAAAAAACCTGTGTACTCCTCCCACTTCTGCCTACCCGTGCTGGGATAGAGGAGCCCACCACAGCTTTTTTTTTTTTAATAATCTCTGCTTCTTTTCCTCTGAGTACTTTTAAGAATATTTTAAATCTTTTTCTTTTACATTTGACTCTGATGTACTTATGAAATATTCTTGAATTTGTGATATTTGATTTCTACCTCTTTTTTTTTTTTTTTTTTTTTTTTTTTTTGGTTTTTCAAGACAGGGTTTCTCTGTATTGTTTTAGAGGCTGCCCTGGAACTCATGCTGTAGACAGACCAGCCTCGAACTCCCAGAGATCCGCCTGCCTCTGCCTCCCAAGTGCTGGGATTAAAGGCGTGTGCCATCAATGCCTGGACTAACTCCCTCTTTAGTCACATTTAATCTGCTGTTTAACTCATCATTTGGACTTTGATTTTTGTTTGTTTGTTTGTTTTGCTTTTTAATTTTGGAATACAGCTTTGGTTGGACTGAAACTAACATATAGACTAGATGGGCCTCAAACTTGCAGTAACCCCTACCTCTGCTTCCAAGTGCTCCCATTATAAGTGTGCAGCATTTGAAATTAATTGTGTGTTTTTATTCTAAAATATCTGTGGATTATCTTCATAACATTGCCACTCAGGGAAATTTCCTTTTAGTTTTGCAATAGTTCCTAGCTTACTATGTATCCATTTACATACAATAACATTTTTTGTTTCCGTGCCAAATGACAGGTGAGCTCTGAGTATCTGTGTCTGAGGGTCTGAATCCCAGTTGCCTTATTTTTCTACTGTAGACCATGTAGATTTTTGTATAGTGGTGTCCCCATCAACCCTGATATCTGCAAAAATTAGTTGGGGGAAGGGCAGTTGCAATTCTCATTTTGGGGGGGGGGCTTAGACTTCTCTCCTTAAGGGGAAAGCTGGCATTCACTTTAGATGCCTATGATGTCAGTGGGTAGACTGAAACCCAAATTCCCAATCAGGGAGACAGTTCCATGTCTGTGTAACCCCAAACAAGAGACTCCCTACCTCTGGGTCTCGGTACATTGATGTCATGGCAGCTCTCTTCTCTCCAGCTATTGTAAGGATCTATATAAATTACCAGTCACTGATATGTGTCACATTATATTACCCCAAAGTTAGCTTAAAAAAACAGTAGACAAGACCTTGAGTGATGGCACACACCTTTAATCCCAGCACTCAGGAAGCAGATGCAGGTGGATCTCTGTAATTTCTAGGACAGCCTTGTCTACAAAGCAAGTTCCAGGACAGCCAGAGCTGCTACACAGAGAAACCCTGTCTTGGAAAACCAAATATAGTAGACAGAATATGGTGGCACACAATTGTGATCCCAGGACTCTGGAGGTGGAGGCAAGAAGACCACAGACTTAGAGCCAATTTGAGCAACTTATTTTGACACTGTCTCAAACAAACACCCCACAATAAATAATTCTGGGAGTCAGGAACAGAGAACCACTTCTTGGGTGGTTCTGGCTTGATCTTGGGCTGAGATTTGATTGGGGCTACAGGCTAGTTTGCAGGCAAACCTCCTTCCTCATGAGCCTGTGTGCACATAGATCTCTCCACAGGGCCAATTACTTGCCTTCATCAAATGGCAGCTGGCTATCCCCAGTGCAGGTGCCCCAGGAGAGGGAGGCAGAAGCAAACTCAGAGCCTCGTGAATGCTGGGTAAGCGAGCACTTATTGCCAAGCTATATCCCCAAACTAATACATATATATGTCTTTCCTTCCATTCCTCCTTTCTTTTTTCCTCCTTTAGTTCCCATGTTATTTTTTTTAAAGACCGAGTCTCAGTAGTTAAGAGAGCTTATAGAAAAAGAATTCTGTTCCAGGCACCCACATTAGGCAACTCACAATTGTTTGTGATTCCAATTCCAAGGGATCCTATTCCTTCTCTGGCCTCCATGGGTCCCTACATACCTACACACACACACACACACACACACACACGTAAAAATAAAAAAGCACATACACAAATAAAAATAAGCAAGGTCTCAGAGCTGGCATTCATTCTCCAAACATACTGAAGATAGGAAGGCATTGAAGTCTCAGGATTCTCCAGCCCTGTTGAGGATTGCATAACAGTCTAGGATTTCAGTCCGAGGTTTGGTGGAGCCAGGATTGCCTTTCAGCCTGAGCTAGAGGCAAGAGCTTGTGGCTGGTTGCTTTACTTTTCTGATCTTCAGCTTGAAGCTTGAACTACAATATCAGTCTCTGGGTCTTCCATTAATCATGTTACAGTAAATCTTAAAGAAAGACAGGGTTTTACTATGCAGCCTTACCTGGCCTGGAACACACTATGTAGTTCAGTTAGCCTCAAAGTCATAGCAATCCTCCTGCCTCTCTCTGTTGGAATTATAATCATATAATATCACATGTGGCTCACACACACATATGTGTGTGTGTTTATATAAATATATTTTATTATTATCCACACATATTTTTGCCCCTCCCATCAATAACAAATCCATTTTTCTGCCGTTCACACTAAGTTATGTGACATGCACAGCATGGGCATCAGACTTCCTTACGTTTTGAACCACAAGGCCACCACAAGACGTGGTGGCTGAGCCTGTGAAAGATGCTCAGAGCCTGTATAAGATGTTGGCTGCAGAATCATTTGGTGCTCACATACTTTCTTCAGGCTATTGCCAGGGAGAAGCCATAGGACCAATCAGTCTGTGTGGGGAACAATTAGACACACTTTCTGGAAGCTTCTTAAGAAAGAGCTGTGTAAACAGCGTATGCTTCTTGACAGATGATGCCAGGTTCCTGCTTGTTCTGAATACTTTATTGGTGCTGGGAAGATGACTCAGAGCTTAAGGATTTTATACACATGTGACATGTGACAGCCCTCATGCAGATCCCCAGAACCCACACAAGTGCCTTGGAAGATAGAGACAGGATCCCCAGAGCAAGCTGGCTGACAAGACTAGCTATTTCAAGGAGATCAAGGTTTACTTGAGAGACCCTACTCAGTCAGGCTATGGTGGTGCACACCTTT